TAAGAAAAGAACATTCTAGATAAGAAGAGTCAGTGGGTAAACAAAAAGGCTGTTCATCTTCGCCAAGTAAGCAATGTGCCCCCCTCTCCTTTTATTACCCCCTGCCATCTGAACCCCACATGGCATGTCTGGGCAGAGAGCCAGACACCTCCGCTATGGATCGACTACCATACCACCCATAAAGGGCACCCCCACTGACTCATACCACCTCAAAAGCCCAATGAGGCCACTGCTTGGACCTGAATAACCCTAACTCACCAATACCTTTGTTCTACAACTCCTTTTATCACCACTCTATCACCAATGGATCAAGTGGTACTTTAAGCGATAAGCCCAAATACATGTTGTGTGTGAGATGGAGTATTTGTATTACGAAATTAGATTCAAAATAAGTGAAAGGGGAAATATGTTCTATAGTTAGTATGTTCAACCAAGCTTAACCTTAGTTGAAAGCAGGTGTGAGGCCTGTCTGTAGCGGCAAAGTGTCTCTTACTGACTCTTTTCAGTGTCGTTGGCTTCACAATGATAACTATGAGCTACAACGTCTGGGATTGAGAGACGTTTTTGCATAAAGCTACTCAACACATGACTGAGATACTTCTTGACACGTGGTTTCCCCTGCCTATGTAAATCTACAGGAGGCCGCCTACGCGTGTTGGTTTTCAACAGCCTAAATTGACAAATTAGAAAAAGAAAAAAAACTCTAAGCTGCTCAACCATCTCAAGATAAATCTGCTGTAAAACAACGAAGCAAGAGAACAGGCAATGGGGAGTTGCTATTAATGAAAACGTTAAAATGCACACTTCTTCTTTTCATTTAATATCATACATGTTATATCATACAAGGAGTTTATTGTGAAGTGGCCGGATGAAGTCTAAAGTAGAGGGATAACTTTTTTAACTATTTCTAATAGACTTTCTTGAAAGGGTTGAAAGGTTTTTTTTAGGTTTTTGAATATCTGTCTATGAGCTAATATTAAAACTACTTATACCTGTTGTTGCATTAGTTTTAAAAAGTCAATTGGTTAAAACCCCTCTCATAAAGCAGAGTAAGGGAAAATAGCATAATTCAAGCACAAAGAATCAAACTATGCATTTTCCAATGTCTTGACTATGATTAGGAAACGTCAGAGGGGTCAAAATAACTCGATGTAAAAGCTAACCACGTTATCTCAAAGTTTAAAAAAGACAATTGTTCAGCCAATGACTCTTTTGAGTCTAGGTAAAACATGAACTATTTTCAAGCGGACCATACACCAGTTAAAAAGTGGAAAATAACTTTCGGTATTATTGACTCAGCCAACCACACAATGGTGAGGCTTTCACCATTAACATATTAAACAATATACTACAGATAGAATACTCTGATTATTTCTAAAATGTTGCATTATCTCTGACATTGCTGTACAGAATGTTTTTATTACTCTTTGTCCAACATACAGTATATGCACTAAGCCATATTGCTACGGTAGAATTGTATATATTGAACTTTTTTGTTGGCGTTGGTTCTGAAACCTTCTCCTGAAACAAGACTACACCCAATGAATGCAAATAATACGTCTTTTAAAGTAAAACCAAAATTAATATTGGATTAGGTCATCCCCTAACTGTGAAAAAATATTGCTAGATGATACTTTTAATTATATATTTTGTTATAATGCTGGTGTTGATTCTATAGCTATTATCCTTTTTTCACAACTTTTTCAGTAAATGTTATGAATGACTCTTTCTAGTTCTGCTGATTCACAGAAGAACTTCTATTCAGCAGGCACTGTATATCATCTCGGGAAACCCCTTTCTGTCAAGTGGCTGATTCCTCTGTATTTAACAGCAATACTTCAAATCAAAGAGGTTTCCTGAGCAACAAGAAAACACTCAGAGAGAGCAAGAAAGTGAGAAGACAAACACCCATAACAAACAGACAAAGAAAAGCAGAACAAAAAAAGACAGACATAGGAAGGGCGTTTTTCTGAACCACGATATTACACAGATTTCTTATCACATTCACAACAAGTAAAAATGCTGAAAGACAACAAGAAATCTCAGAATTCTGCTAAAAGAGAAAGTGAGCAGAAAGCCAACAGTCAGCTAAATTAAAGAACAAGATATAAAACAAATATGTAGAGGAGATTTGTCATAAATATGAGCAACCAGCTTTCAAAGGTACAGTATGGTAACATATTCGTACTTTCTTCTTAAATAAGGTATGATGTGGCACTGGTCCGTTTTTATTTGGGGAGAGTTCTCACTTTTTTTCACAACGTTCAACAAGTTCAAGCCGCAATAACAATAAGGAGCTAAGTGGAGTAGATATTGTCAGATATTCACAGTAGAAGTTCTTCAGGTTGTAACAAAAACAAGCCCTGACTTGATCCCTGCCTGCACAGTGGAAGAACAACTGAGGAGTGTGCAGCTCCCTGTGACTCTGGCTGTGTGATCCTGCATTACACTTCAGTTATTCATTTGGACATGCGCCCCCACTTGCACAGTGGTGCTTTTATTCCGAAATTATTCCAACTGCAAGTTTTTCCCTTCGTCCCATCTCCAAATCAATCTTCTCTTAATCGAAGGAAAACTTTATTTAAATCTGCATAAGCCAAAACTTCATGAAGTCATTACTTTCCCCATGAAAAGGACAGCGTTCACATGTTCCAATGGTTAATGCCCAAAGACAGAAACAGATGAAGAAGATTAATTTAGCATGGAAGACTAACACAGATGGCATTAATCAATGAATTTGAGGGTTGAAATCCACTTTATGATCTTCCGTACATCTTATATCACTCAGCTTCTGTACAATATATACTATCTAAAAGACTCAATCCTTTAAAATCAAAAATATTGTCTAGTTTCAACCAAGAAAGTTTTGTCTGCAATTGTGATGCTGGGTGTAGACTTCTGCAAATCCCTGTTTTATGAGAACTCCTGATTTATTCGTTTTTTTTCAAGTGTTTGCAGACAATAAAGAAACATTATGAAAAGGATGAAATCTGCTCCTGTCAATCATAATACTTAACAACTATACACACTCGCATTTTGCTAGATATTGGCATTAAACAGGAACTGCCTAGAGCAGCTGAAATAAAAACACACACTTAGGCATATGCAAAATGAGTCAATGTATCCACGTGTTAAATATAGTCAATAAACTGAAAGTCATTTTGATGGTAGTCCTGACACACGTATTTTTGTCAGGACTAGAATGCCATTTTTTTTACATTCAAGCATTCATTCCATTTATTATTTTAAATGGATATGACCATTGTGAAGTTCAACAACACTGGTAATGTAAAGTCATATAAACTAAAAGCAGCCTGTAACTGAAAGCATTTCACTAAGAAATGAATTTTAAACTTGCTTTTCAAACCCAGGTACCCTAACACGTTCTTGCTGTTTGACAGGATTACATAACTATTTGCATACCTGCTCTCACCTCACTGAGAGAAATTACATTTGAAATCAGACAGAACCATTCTATTACTGCGTCAATAAATCAACTGGGAAACTAATTGCAATGACTTTAATTTAATTATATATCTGTCCTAGCAATTAAAGACATTCATTGACTTCATAGATTTCCTATTTACTATCAAGTTTGTGATCTAACTTTGTTTGCATGTACTACTATTATGATTGTTTGTCATTATACTTAACTAAACATAACTAATACAGCCTGGCATTGCTCAATCCTTTCCTACTCTTTGTTTCTACTCTGACAATAGTTTTCCAGATTGCCATTAAGTGTGTTCCTTTTTGATAGACAAATGTCTCATATTGTAGGATACTTCAGCCTGGGGGAAATAGAGGGCAGTTTCATGCGGGAAAGATTATCATCTAGATTCAACCCCACGGCATCTCATTCAGCATGGTGCGCACCTAGAATCACTGGTCCACCAGGAGAAAGTCTATTTTAACTTCTTTATATTGCTTTGTTGTAACAGGTAACAACAGGTCCAATAGCCTTTATGACTAATTGTTCATGTTGGGTAGAGTAAATGTTTCTTCTAAAGGTGTAAAGCACCATAACAATGATCTGATGGTTTTGCATACATTTTGTTTATGTCCAGAACATCATGACATATCAAACAATGCTTAATTCAGCAGTGGGTAACCCATCATTTCCATGAGCAAATTGTTTCAAAAAGTCAAGGGTCAATAGTTTCAGTAATAAAGGACTTGACAACATTGCTACCTAAACTATTGAAAAAGTTGACAAACTTTAACAGACTAAAGTGTGCCTTAACTAGCTAGGACCTATTTTAAAACTTTTCACACTCAGATATAAGGCTAATTGTGGAATCAAATGTGTCTTAACATTACAAACATCAATAATAACTAATAACTATTAAATATTGCTAAATTAAATAAAGATATGTATTAACCACTTGCCTATAATAACAAATATACTGCAAAGCCTATATTGGTCATTTAAACAGCAACTGTCCTACTTTTGATTTATTTTGTGAAAAACAAGTGCTTAAAAGTTATGACAACATTAGCATGTGCAGCTTTGCAGAAATGTGTCTCAGTGACATTCAAACTGGTCCCTCCTTCTGCTTCACTTACACAACATCAACCTAACTGTTGCAGTCCCGCCTGAGCTACACAGCCTCCACGTATACAGAAGAAAAGTTATAAGGTGCAAAATGAAATGGGGCATTTACAAGTGTTGTTTTTACCTGGATGAACAGTTTAATTAGCCGTGACAATGACTGCACTGAGGCTAACTTGCTAGCACGTCAGGCTAATGACAGCTGGCGTTGTGGACATTAGGCGACCATGACAGAAATATTTTTTTAATATAAGAGTATTACAACACTTATAAGGTTCGGTTCCTCTTTCATATGGCTTGCGGTTTTGATATTGCAGTCAAATACTGTTGGTTTAATTTAAACCAGCAGCAGCTTAGGTGAGTAACTTATGTTAATGTTACAGTACAGTGTCTTAGTATACTTCCAATGCATGCAGTAACATTATAACCCCAAAGGGACCACACTGACCTGCAGGCCCCAGCGGCTGCTGCTGCCCGTCCTCCCCGAAGATCAGCCTGAAGTCCAGCTCCTCATTCCCGGGGCAGTTAGCAGTCGTCATCGGGTTTGACAGCTCGGGTTTTTACCCCGCCACTCGACCGTCGACCGATGGAGCAATGTATGCTCTCCTAAAAAAATGTCACCACATTTACCGACTGTCACGACTCCGAACTTCAACTTTTGTTTAAGTTATAAGCGGTTATGGCCATGCACGAAGCCGTGTTTCCCCCCCTTAGTTAGACAAATCCAAAATACAGGTCGGTGGCTGCTGCTCTTCCTCGTAACTTCAGAGAAAGTCGTCTGTCCGTTCTGTCTCTTCTTCCCTCACTGTTTCTCTCTGTGTGCCGAGCTAATCTACAACAAAGAAGAAGCGCTTTCCCTGCTATAAAAGCCGATTAATTGTCTGGTTAATTGTCCGTCCCCTCTTTATCTCTTTCTCTCTATCTCTCCTCCTGTCTGTTTCTCTCTCCGGAGCTCCGATCCCAACTTTTACTAACCCCGCGTGACAAGGCTGTTCCAGTGGTGACGTCAGCAGACACAACACAACACAGGGTACGCCGCACACACACACACACACACACACACACACACACACACACACACACACACACACACACACACACACACACACACACACACACACACATTTCACACAATCTCCTAATTTCAGTTAAAACCAAAGGTGCAAAGTAACTAAGGATTTACTCAAGTACAATTTTGAGGTACAATTCAGAGATAAATCATGTACTTTCACTCCATTATAATTATGTAATACCTTTAGTTACTTTGCAGATTTCGATTAATGATGTGAAATAGAATAATCAACACTTAAATAAGACTTTAGTTACACCTGGAGTAAAATTAACAAACTACCCTGCAGTATACAAAGTCATTCATAGCTGCACCTTTCCCAGCTTTGATAACACGTTATTATTACATCAATAATTATAATCAGAACATATAATATGTTATTCTGAAAAATACTAATATGTAGCAGAGTATTCCTACACTCTTGTACTTCTACTTTTACTTGAGTACAAGATCTGAGTACTTATTCCACCTCTGGTCAAAACATTAAATCAAAGACTTTTAAAGTTAAAGGCATAAAACATAGTGTCTGTTATTTGCTATATTTAGTTCATTGGATGCAAAATAATACACATCAAATACATTCGATCCCTTTCTAAAGTGCATCTTTCCAAATATACTTAATATATAAACACTGATACAATCCTAACAATAATAAAAGGGAAACACTTAGCTATTAATTACTCCAGAAACAACTAAGAGTATAAAACAATGAGGTCATGAGTATTTCTTGCAATATTGTGTACAAATAACACCTTTGATTTTGATGCAGGCATGCAAGAAAACAAAGAATATTCGTAATAATGTTACCTAAATAAATATCTAACATCTCTTATTATGTCTTATCACTAGTTATAAGCTGTTTTTGCACAACAAAGTGTACGTTTAAATTGCATTTAGCAAACCTTTTGACCTTGCAACAACTAGGTCTTACTTTGATCATTTAATTGGCCCTCCATTCTCTTCCGCCATTAGCTTACATCCGATTGGCCCTGAACCCTGCCACTGTGTGTGGTTCCAACAAGCCAGGGTTGGTAAGTATAATGACATGATGCACTTTCTGCCTTTATATCCCTTGAGCCTGTCAGCACGGGTTCACATTTATTTCAAAACAACCAATTTAGGCTTGTCTATTTGAGTTATCGATTATACATCAAGCTATGTGCAATATGAGAAAAAATGCTTTTAGTATTTCAAGAGCACATGGTTTAAACACTAGTTACAGTATTTGCCGCTTTATCCTTGATCATAGAAGCATGTGACGGAAGTTTCTTTAAAATGTTATTTTCTAGTTTCATTGCTAACAGGGATTTTTTCACTGGGTGAGACTGAGTGAGTGTTTCATCAGGACGCTATACTAAAATGATTGCCAAAGGTGCAGTTAGTTGAGAACAGGAACGCATTGTGACCAAATAATTTTTACTACATTACATTTATTTAGACAATGAAAGAGATTCCTTACACCTACATTTTTAAATTAGCACACTATTAGATTTGTGATTTGACGTGACAATTTACTGAGTAGTTTTGCTTCTTGCGCATACATATTCCTGCTTTAAGGGATTAGTAGTTGGTTTGTTATATCCCAATCAAATTCTTAGTTGTTTTTTCACCAGAGATAGGGATGGAGGAGTTGATCTGCAGCTCAAATAAAGCAATAGTAAATCTGTCTGTTTACGGCTGTTCCACTCCCATTAACCTCTGTGACTCTATCCAACCCCTCAATCAATCTCCTCAGGTTAATCTTTATTGGCTTAAGTGACAAAGAGCTTGCTGCACTCTAAAGCTTTAATGTGTTGCTGCTTTGATGAGATTTGATGCTGGACAATATTTATATTTATTTTCAGTAATTTCCTGCTTTCATCCGGCTGGACATACAGTATCAGTCCAAAGTAAAGTACACACAACTTATTTTCTATTTTCATACATTATAAACTGTACATTATGAGTGGCGGGTATTCATATTATTTTGTAATGCTCTCTCCTTGTACTATGCACACACATACACACACAGACTCACAACATCTGCCTTTATCCAGCAAGGTTTGAATGTTTAGCCAAAGTTTTTTGCAACACTGATAAGCCGAATTATAAAACTTTGTATGTTTTTTATTATGTGCATTACTGCTTCTACTAATAAAACCAGTCTACATTCATAAACTTGGAACAATATTTTAGGGCTTCAAAGATCAACTTGCAATAAAAGACACAAATGAGCACTTGTTCTTTTTGCAAAAATAAAAGTAACTACGTTTGTTTTTTCAAACACGCCTGGTAAAACAAGCTCAAAGATCATTTATAAAAATAACTTCTGCAAGACCACAATTTGATGTGAATCAGTCCATCCTCAAAACAAATTGCATGCACACCAAATAGCAGCTTCTTATTTGTCTGACACATGCACACTACATATATTCTAGATGCATGTGGGCGTAAAGACAAGCGCTCCGCTCACAAATGCATCTGAAAGCATCAATATCACATTTCCTGTGGTCTTTATTTCCCTGCAAAAGCAAAAGGTTTAACCCTTTTTGACTTCTATGCGCCCTCCTGAAACAACAGACATTTTAGTAACGTAAAGGTTATTGTTTATATATTCAAAGTATAGTTTGGAACATACACCAAAACTGTTTTTTTGTTTCTTTCCTCTCCAAACTTTATACAATTTCCACCGTCACCTGCCATTTAAGACTGACATGTAGTGCTCCATTTACAGAGTACTTGAAATGTTCTACTCAAACAGGCTTATAGTTACTTAACTTAAATAAGTAATAAATGAGTAGCATTGCTTTTGTTGAAAAGAGTTCAAGAAAGTAGCTATTTTTGAGAAATAATTTGAATAGGTACTGTCATTTAATCACACATTATTATTGCAAAAATCTCATTGTCGCACGTAAGTAATAACCAATTCAATCTCTATTCAGTCCCTCTTAAGAGATGATTATATTTATCAATACAACCAAGTATTCTAGGGTTAACTTACAAATGATAAATAATTGCAACTGGAATATCCTCTTGAGCTGTGATTCTTTCCCCGTTTCAACATATTTCAATGTCAAGCACAGAATGTTACTTTATAATGGTTCAAGCACATTGAAGATTACGCTTCTTTAAATTATAATAAGTGCCACATGCTTACAAAAGAAACGAGAATAAGAGGACACAAGGTTTTAGTTGTAATAAATCAAAACAAGTCTTAATTCACTGACTTTACATTCTCCTTCATCACAAATATCTTCTCATTGATTTATAAAGTAATATGAATGTGTGGCTGAACTTTCTCCTGTGCAGCAATCATGTCCACAGACCCACCCGAGTGAGTCTAATTCAGGTTGCTGACGTCTCTTATCTTCGCAAATGACCTTTGAAGGGAGAAGATAAAGAAAACAAATTGTGTGGGAGGCTGTAGATGTGGTTTGTGATATTGTGTTGCTGCAGAGAAAGTTATGAAGGGAAAAACAACAGCATCTGCCCCCACACTGGTCCTTTCTGAGAGGTGTCACTCTTTCAAGGATTGGGGTTTGCACACACTGCAGAAATGCAACACACTACTTTTGCAACACAGTGATTTTATTTATCTATTTTAATATCATGTGCATGCCCTTATCGAATAGTGTTTTATTTGTTGTCTCTATCTTCACTTTTGCTATAACACTGTACTTTTCCACTCTAATAAAGTTATTCTGATTCTGATTTTCACTAAATGTCAAGAAATATTACATTGCACAAAGTTCTGGATCAGAATGTCAGCTCACAAGAGATTAAAGACTAGCAATAAGACTGTTTTGTAGACATGATTGTATTTATATAGGTTCTCCAACATTTGAAAAGTAAATACAACAATCTTTAACTTTATTTGATATTTCATGTCTTTATTTATCTGTGATTGACTTGCAGTATGTGATAATAATTTGGAATAGTGAGATTATGAGGAATTTAACTGCAGAATAAAAAATCCTGGACAACCAATATGTTTCATTTATATTTAAACAATCTGGAAGAAGAATGGGAACCACAAAAACGTTCTTTCGCAGCTCTGATCAGGAACTCAGATGACTTGAAATCTTCCTTCTTGATTTATGCTGCCCTCTTTTGTTCATTTTTCGAAACAGAAAATTGGCTTGTTATGATGAGTGAGTCGGACCGTGTTCTCACTGGTCGGCAATAACAAGTCCAAAGACTTGAGATGAAAATAAAATATACAGTTCATGAGAATTTACCTCATTTAAGATGAAGAAAATGTAAGCGCTTTGAGGAGTCATAAAGACTGGATAAAGCACAATATTAAAACACATTTCTTTAACTTTTAAATTCAGATATACTGCGCATATTCATTTATTTTCACTTGTCATGTTCTCATTGTGTTTCGATTTTTGTATATCCATATTTCTTGTAAAAATGTTTTACATTAATACTTAACAGTGTTTACTATGGATTTAGTAATATGTATATATTTGCTCTTATTTTACAACCTAATTTATCTTACTGTGTTTATGTAAGCACCGTTTTACACCAAAGCAAATTCCTTCTTGTTTAAACCTGGCAATATATCTAATTCTGATTTTGATTCTGTTAAAGAAGTATTGGTAAGCCCAGCTCAGTTGTTTCCTCTTTCTTGGTGGACCGTGATCAAAGACCCCAGTTTGTAGGGATTTATGCAGCATTGGTTTGTCCAACATGTGACAGAGATTCTATTACTGGAAGTGTGTGTGATGCTACAGTAAATCAATCAGTGAACCGATTCATTTGGGAAGGGTAGCTGCTGTACAATCAATGCTTCATGTGACAGTCACACTGCTGCAGGCTGCTGTAATTACTTTGCACAAAAGGAATAGGATATGAGGATACAATTTGTAAACCAAAACAAATGAATGAAAACATTCTTGGTAGCCAACTGAGCAAAGACAGGGCCAAACAGCAGAGAGTGAAATCCCCCTTTGGACCCTCTCTGAATGCATGCCTAGTTAGATTAGTCTCCTTTTTATTAGTTTACACTCCCAGTGACAAAGCAGCATAGTTTATGCCCCTAAAAGCCCCAAGGCAGCCCTTTAAGTAGTAATTTATAAGTGTACATGCTAAGCTGACATGCTTGAAAAGATTAATACATCTAATTACAATAATCAAATGAAAATGTTGATAAGCTTTCTTTGGTAATTCTCAGATAAATGCAAGTGTATACTTTACTGTGCCTCAAAATGCTGAAGAGAATTGACCAGAGGTCAGAGTCATGTGGGCAGTTATCGACAGTCACTGTTGTGTCAATGACGGCACTTTTTCTCACCCTTTTCTAATCTATTTTAATCTCTTTTATAACTGTACTGCAGTGCTGATTCATTGTATATTGATCAGGGATTGAGTTATCATGAGAACAGGGTTACAATGTACAAGACTTCAGGAGAAACAGTGATCATCATGCAAATCGAGTGTCTTGCCTCTGAATCAATAGGTCATTTAGTTGAAAACTAAACTTTATGTTTAAATGTTGAAAACATGTATCAATAGAAATAATTACACATATCAAACCATTATTATATATACGCCCAACTATAGGTCTTTCTTACTGGGATGTGATTTGGAGTGAATTTGTACTTTTATGCACAGGAGCCAGGTATGGAGGACAGATCATGACATAAGTAACAAATAAATAAATGCATTAATACAGAATAAATACAGGAATAAAAAAAGACATGAAAAAATCAATAAATATGGAAATAAATAAATGGATGTATAAATAAAAAAGTAAAAGTTGAGAATAAAACAGAACATGCATTATTATATAGCTTTAATGTATTTCTACATTTATTTTCAGTTACATTTAAATATTTATACATTTCTGTGTCTGTGCGTGTTTCACACAATGTTGTTCTGCTTGGTAGCCTTGTATTCTGTGAATACGACAACATTTATAATAAATGCACTTTCAATTGCTCTGAAAGTTGTGCACGTGTCTTTAACAATATCTTTGAGTTGCCATCATATTTTATTTCACTTCCTCTGACCAGTCCCACTTTTATTTGAAAGCTTTGTGTCAAATTGTACACGAAAAAAGGTCATGTGATCCAATGATTTCAAATCAATCCTACCTGCACAAGCTGCTGTATAGCTCAGTGGTTAAAGCAGGCAGTCCATATCCATTTTGGTAGAACTTGACTTTATGACTTTATGACCTATGTATATTGTAATTATTGATGTCTTATGTGTTAATCACTTTAATGTTACAGCTGGGGAAGAAGAAGCTTTTTTATTATACTAAGCCTATATTTAATGCCAGGCAGATAATGAACCTCCCAAGGGATCAATACAAATACAAATACAATATATATTTGTGTTGATTATGTTTTGTATTGTTAATCTAAGTCTGAAACTTTAGAGAAAACAAAGTTAACAAATACATGTGGTGGTTTTAGAAGTAGGCTACACCTCTACACATCTAGATTTGTTGAAAATCTAGATTTTGCATTTCTACATACGTCATCACTCATCGCCGAGTCGACATCATCAACATTCGCCAACAAAGCATGGCGTTGTGTTGCTGTCATTTGAAAGAGGATGCTAACAAATCTACGGTGTTTTTGAACATGTGAAGTGACTCCATAAGATTCCCAATTCGCTAAACTGGTCTCGTTTTCTTGGTCTAGTATTTTCTTTGCGTTGTAATTCTTGTCACGGGACTCTAAGCTGCTATAGAGCCGGTTAAAAACAAAATGCTCTCTGTGAAGGTCGCATATTTGGCTTCGGCTGCGTCCCGAGCAATCTCAAATAGAGTCAACTCTCGTAAGTTTGTTATTGTGTCGGCGTACTCTTGCCTTCATTGTCCTGTTAGCCAGACTCGCTTTTATCAATCAGTAGCTGCGCCGGAAGAGACTGTTATTCGGATCCCTCGCTCCATGCAGAAGCAAGTGGAAAATGTGAAGCAGACTCGAGGTAAAAACAAGATCAACACCGTCAGAGCTGGCAAGCTGCTGATCCAGAGCAAGTACCCGGATCTGAACCAGACTGGAGCATACACTCTCGGGAGGTTCGAGCAGCCCGTCCTCTCCTCGAAAGGATGGAAACACAACAAATCATTTGGGGACTATTTCACCATCAACAACATGAGGACGGTGGCCCCTTGTGTTGCTGAAAACCAGAATGAAGAAGTTGAAAAGGAAGCAGCTGTGACGTTTAATAACCTCCACATCTGTAAGGAGCTGGTTGAGACTTTGGAGAAAATCGGCATTACCAACCCTACCACCGTGCAGCTGCAGACCATCCCAAAGGTCATGAAAGGTCACAATATTCTCTGTGCTGCGGAGACTGGCAGTGGGAAAACCTTGAGTTACCTCCTGCCTATTATTCAGAGGCTAAAGGCTGATAAGGAATCGGAGATGTACGCTCAAGGCGCACACAAGATTGGTGCTGTGGTTATTGTGCCTTCTAGAGAGTTAGCAGAGCAGGTGGCCGCTGTGTCCAGGGGTTTGTGTGCTCAGTTAGGTTTACGGACGATGACTGTGGGGGGTGGGCGAGGTGTAGGACACATCAAGGAGGTCTTCAAGAAGGATCATCCGGATATTTTAGTGGCCACACCAGGGGCTCTGGTGAAGGCCCTGCGGAGACGCTGCATTGACTTGACCGACCTGAGCTTCTTCGTGGTAGACGAGGCTGACACCATGTTCGACCCCAGTTTTTCTGACATGCTGGAGAACATCCTTGTCAAAACAAACATCTCTAGTGATCCCAAGGAAACAAAAGGCCTGGACCATAAAGCCCAGCTGCTGGTGGTGGGGGCCACCTTCCCTGGGGGTGTGGGTGAAGTGCTCAGCAAGGTGACAGATCTTGGCAGCATGGTTGTTATCAAAAGCAAGATGCTGCACTTCCTCATGCCTCATGTCAAGCAGAAGTTTCTGAAGTTGAAGGGTGCTGATAAGATCCTGGAGCTCAACCAGGCCCTGAAGCTCCAACAGGAAGAAGGAGGCGGTGCTGCACTGGTGTTCTGCAACAAGAGTGTCACCGTCAACTGGCTGGGGTACTCGCTGGACGAGATGGGGGTGAAGCACGCCCGTCTGCATGGCAACATGCCTGCTGCCATGCGGGCAGGAATCTTCCGCTCTTTCCAGAAGGGCAGTGCAGATGTGCTGGTATGCACAGACATCGCTTCACGTGGCCTGGACACATCTCGAGTGCGATTGGTCGTCAACTATGACTCCCCAGAATCCCACACGGACTACATTCACAGGGCAGGGAGAGTGGGGAGGGCAGGAGGGATGGAGGGAGGGGAGGTGCTCACCTTTGTCACGCATATGTGGGACGTGGAGCTGGTGCAGAAGATCGAGACTGCTGCACGAAGGAGAACTAGTTTGCCAGGGATGGAGTCTGAGATACGTGAGCCGAAACCCAAAGAGAGTAGTACAGAGGAGTAGATGAGTATGTTTTCAGATGGAAAAGCCTCCAGTGGGACATTGTATGTGTAGTATTGGAATGACAAAGTCTAAATGTGCAAAACATTTTAAGCAGAATACAATTTGATCTAAACTTAAAATAACATAAAATAAATTGTACCTATTAATGGGGATATGGAAGAGACCCAGTGTGTGCGTTATTTATCAATTTACTCTTGTCCTAGTTTGAAAAAATATTTTGCCATAGCCGATTAAAATATGATGTAAATGTTTGTTTTCTGCAAATTAATCTGCTCATCAGTTGCTTATTTGGATTTAATATACTTCTTACAATGTTTCCAATCAACTGATGCACTTATTTTGTTTGTGTTATTTTTATTGATTTTGTTTTGTAAAAATGTTTAAACTTATAAGTAAAAATAGCTTTGAATATTTGTTTCACTTTGTTTCTTTTACCTCAACTATTGATTAGAGCCATTTGGAAAACAGGTGAGCTTTGAACAATGTACTGGTCATTTTCTTTCTCCATTAGCAACATATTTCTTTCCTTAGAACTACTGAAAACAGAGTTGACCCGGTTGGTGAGTGTAAATGATTGCCAACTGTGCAACAAAGTAAAGTTCTTCAAATACAACCTGTTGGCTTTTTCGCCACACCTAACCAAATACCATCCAGGGTGTGTTATTAAAATGAGCAACAGTGTAGTGAACATTGCAGCAAAGCATGACAAATACTTTGTCTTTCTCATAAAACCTTTAAGAATAAGAAAATAAATGCGAAAATGTCATGTGGACAAATCCTGAATTCCCTGCAGATTCATTCAATTCCTTACCACAATTTCAACTAGTTCAGTGTTTTCTTCTGTGATATGTACTGCATGTATTTGACCACTGGGGGGTGGTATTTGTCTAATATTAGTTTATGTGCATTCACTGCACAGTTGATAGGCCATACCATGTATAAACATGGTTGTGCTAAATACAATTAACCGGGCACACGTTCCCCTAACATATCTGAAACGGTCACCAGCCCACATACTAGTTTCTATAAGGACTCCATTAACTCTCATGTTTGCAGTACAGAAACACTTCATCAGAACTAGGCTCTTATCATTAATCTCCTGTTAAGTTGAACACAGGCCAAAAGCTGACATCTCTACTGTTGATGTGGTCTGCCTGCTGTACTTAAAAATGATTTCCCCCCCTCTTCTATGCCTGCGGGTGCTTGTTGAAAGGAAACCGCAAAAGTGTCAACATGAAAATCTTTCAGACTTAAAAAAAAAATTGGGATCCTATTTCAAAGGTAATACCTTTTCTTTTGAGTCTGATTTGGTGTTATTTTAAACAATTTTTGTACATTTATGCACAGATGACGTCCTTAGACATTTCTGCCTGGAAATGGTATGTGCTCTTATTTTTGAAAAGGCTCTCACGTTGCCATGTTACATACGTGATGATTTATGTTGGAGTGTCTGTGGAAGTATAGAGATTATAGTTCGCAGACAGAGGGATAGACGTGTTAATGGCTGTGACAGTAACAAGGGGCTTCCATCAGAATGTCTGGAATCCATCTGAGATTGTCCTGCTCCGGCTCGGGTCAACATCTTTAAGCTTCACCCCCGCTGAGGTTCACATTTCACCCAACTGTATACCCTGACAACAGGGACCCAGTTTCCACTAATAGCATGTGTAACAAATGCCTCCAATCCCTCAATTTATATTTCTGTCCTGCCTCACCTCACCTGACCCCTGCAAAAATAATGAACTCTATCAAATTTCCCATTTCCAGGTAGTAGCTGCCCCCCCATTACGTTTTTTAATGGTTAAAATAATTTTAGACCATGCCTTAAAGGGCCACTCCAACAATTTCACACATAACCAGTGAACTAAATTCAAGGCATACTTTGCAGCCTGTGAAACAAAATGTACCTGTATGTTAAGTGTCTCCTGTGTATCTGAGGGTTTATCAAGATTGATCAAATAAGATGAGGTCATAGTAGTGATGTCATTTGGGTTATCCCGACCTTGATTAAGGAACCACGCACAATAAACAAAATGTTTTACTGAGACTGGAAGTTGGTTTTGAAAGATGTGGGCAACCTCAGTGACAAATCCAAAGATGCTATTTAATTGCATCTTGGGACATGTAAAGTCCAGGGTTATTGGAGTTTAGCCCATAATAAGAATCAGTCTAACCCGATCCCTCTTGTTTTGTTTTAGCCTTTCTTTGTTTTTAGTTACCCACTAATCAAAACATTTTCATATTGGTAATTTACCTTTACTGTGCACATTGCTGTAGGATGTGTAGGCTTGTATACACTTTTCTGCAGAAAAAACAAAAACCACATCAGACACATGTCTGCCTTTTATATTCCAAGCATAGGCACTAAATAATGCCAGTACCATTCAGAAGTCTAGTTGAAAATGGTGGTTTGTTGGACAAACAAGCATAAAGTTGGCTGGTTTGAGGTCGCAGGTTCTCACCACCCAGTCTACAGTAAAACAAACAATGGCCTATATTTGAGCAGGTGGTGATGTTTGGATGCCTTTCACAGGGAATTCTCCTTTCTTCCTCTCTTTGTTTTTGGCTTTAAACCAATATTTGAAGGGCAATAACTTATCACCCGGACTGATAATCGTATGCGCCAACCATAGACTGTATATAGGCGCCAACCAATAATTTAATACTTTTTTAGACCTATAATTAAAAAAAAACGTTCTAAGGTGAGGTAATGGCTCTTACAAATAATCACACGTGACAAAATGTTTTCTGTACAAATATAAATGATATTAATTAATTCAACCCCATTTGTAGTTCAGTGGACAGCGGGTGGACTACAAAGCGTTTGGTCCATTAATAGTGACGCATTTCCTCTTTGCCCCAGTGTACCCCCCTCCCCATTAACACACAAACTCACACACACACAGTGCCGCTGCTGCTGCTCAAACACTGTCCAGCCACTTGGAAATTTCCCTCAACGCGGAGGATATTGTACTGCTGAGGAGCGGGACTGTCGGCTTATGTGCATCTTCTCAGGGCTGCCTTGCTTGAAATGCCCCAGTAGAGGATCTGAAGGTAGGTGTACAAACCTGTAATCCGATTATTCTGCTGGCCATCTCCCCCGCAGCAGACGAACAGATCTGCCTGACCTTCTCTCCGACCAAAGCGTTATAATGTGTGTGTGCGAGCCCGGCGTGAGTGCCTGTCTGCCGGATGGGAGCCTCTGTGACCGCTTCACATGTCTGCTCCTCCGGCTCTTTTTAAATGTATCGCTGCTACAGCCGAAGTTCAGGGGCTGCCATGCTCATTTGAATCAACCAAACTTGTGGAGCCTTTTTAATTGTCGACTTCTCCAGTGGCACCGGTTTTGGCGATTTATTTTGGCAAAGCTGTTTTTGGTGTATTTTGTGGTGGGTGTGCAGAGTCATAAAGGCATGGAGAGTTCACGGAGGGGCTGGTAACATTGCACTGGCCAAGGGAAAGCCAGCCTCCGCCATGTTAAATTACCATCTCATTCAATCTTCCACTCATGCCACATGCAATTGTTGTCAACTTTTGTTAACATAAAAACATTTCGTCAATAATGCCATGTCTGCCACGCAAATTAAAGGGCGGCCACCTGTGTAAAGCGCGTGGCTGCTGTGTTAAAGAAGCAGCTCCTCCATATGGGGAATCCAAGGCTTCAGTTCACCACACCGTTAAACATTACAGCCTGCAGGGGAACCTATGTTCATGTGCATGTGGTTGCCACAGTACAATAAGAGTAGCATGGGGGGGGAAAGTGCGACATGTAGAATAATGTATGGCTTCTCTGCAGCAGCAGCAGCTATTCTTCCAGGTTATATTGCATGAATTGTGGGGATGGCTGCCTGTGTCTCCTACGCTGCCACACCCCTTTATAGAAATACAAGGCTTTCATAGCCTACAATTTGCATAAGTTGTATTATCTCATGCTAGATGTGTTATAATTATGATCACTGCAGGGAATCTCATGAGTATGTCCTCCTTTTTGCCAATTAATTAATTAAATGATCACTTGTTTATGTGCCAAGTTTGTGCTCTAGGGTCAGTACACTCCATAGTAGTATTGCAATGAGAGGATGACTGATGAGTGGCAGATTCATTTTTATTAAGGCAGTGCCCTGTGTGGGACTGTGAGGCAGACGGGTCATATGAGATGGGGGCACCGATGAAGCAAGACATGCCTGCGATGTTAGATGTGCAAGTGGGTTTCTCTGGCAGTTTAATGGGCAAAAGTAAATCGTCCCCTGAAGACACACACACACACACACACACACACACACTCCATTCCCCTCTCCCCCCTGGCTGCATAGACCTTGGCTTGTCAGAAAAAGGCACATGACCTTATGCTGCAGGCGGCTCCAATGTGTGTGTGATTCCTGAGGAACGAGTGGTCCCCTCTGACTGTTTCTTTACACATCCTCTAGGTATGTCTAGCACCAGCCCGTGTTGAGATCTGTCTGGGTGTAAGGACAGCATGTCTGGTGGGAAAGGTTGGCAGTTATTAGATTTCAAAAAAATCTATAGTTAATAAAGGTGTGAAGAAAATTGCTACGGCACGAGAATGTCATCCCATCCCCTCAAGTTACCCGATGTTAAAATCTGTCCTTTCAAAATGGCAGCTCTCGTCTAATGAGCCAGGCCCCTGTCATCGCACTGATCAGTTATGCTTCCGTCTCATCTCTGTGAAAATGTCATTTTCTCAAGCCCCATGGTTAACTGTTACTATCTTCTGCTGCTGCTTTGTATGCTGCTCTGCCTCAAGCGCTGGCACCAACCATTTATTAAACTGACCAAACTCTGCCTTACTCTGCTCTGCTGACATTAAAGCAGCAATCAAAAGCCTTTTCATTATATTAGTAACTGCACTGACCTTTTTTGAAAAATGTGTTTATGGCTTCATTATGCAAATAGTTTGAAACCAATCTTCTCAAAGCAGACTGATCAACAATTACACTATTTGCTGTGTAGCTGTTCAGTTATTGAGTGCTGAAATCAGTGGCAGGGCAGGAGAAGCAGTGAGGATAATCAGGAAATTATGCCTTATTCTGAACATAATGAAACTGAATGCAAGAATAGAAGAGCTTTGAATCAATACATGACACATAGCCCATAGCCTGTTGCCATTGTAAAATCTGGCATAAATACACTAAAGCCAACAGTTAACTGATTTCCAAAGGTCTTTTGCTTGCTCTACAGCCTTGGGGGACTAACTTTCAAAGACCATGTGTATTTCTGGCTTGTAAAGACTTTCGAGGCCAATCTCATCCGGCAGTAGACGGGTTACTCATCATTAACACATGGCTAATTTATTGATCTGTTCCTTTGTTCTGCATGAAAACAGACCTCTGCTGTCACAAGGGACCACAGAGAGGAAGTAATAAGCAGCCCGTAATGACACTTTAATCTTAAAGAGGCACAAATGTTATGCAAATGCACTGAGCCACGGGAAGGAAGCCAACAGTTTGCTGCTCAGGATCAGCCAGGTAGCTTTGCTGTGTACAGGAAGTGTCAATCAAAGTTGAGTGTTACTGTCGGCAAGTACAGTTATTAACAGTTTCCACAAGAGGCTGTGCTTGGGAACAGTTTACTCTTCAAAAACTGATTAAGAGGAGCTTTTTTCATACAGTTGGAACAAAGCTGGAGTAGAGGGAATAGACTTTGAGCTTCACAGACAAAGCATGGTTACATTACA